CTGTAAATATAAATTTAAAAAAATTAAATTAAATAGTTTTTAGCTATATTTATTGAAATAAAACAATTTAATAAAATTATATTTATATAAATTGGTCAGTTTCAGATCGGATTGGTTTACAAAAAATTAAAACCAATTAGTTTTCGGATTGGATCAGTTTACAAAAAATTAAAATTGATTAGTTTTCAGATTGGATTGGTTTCAGTTTTAATTAAAACCAATTCAAACCAAACTGTTGTAATCCCTAGTTTAGGCTTAGAAGACTTTGCCTTTTAAAGGGAGGGAATATATAATAAAATAGATAATTTAATCTTATTCTGCTTATTTTTATTGGATTATTTTATATTCTATTTTTAACAGAAATATTTATTCATTTATTTATAGTATATATATAGTTAATTATAATTTATATAATGTAGATCAGATAATCTGGAAGACTTAAGCAGTCCACAAGGCTCAAAGAACTCACAAGACTATCTAATCTATAAAATTATAACATTGTGACACATAGATCAAGCAGTCTAGGTAGCTTATATAGAAAAACACTATATAAGTAGTTATTGTTTATAAAATTATTCAGTTAGTTTTAAGATAACTCACTCTTGTAATTGCTTGAAATTTTGTTTCTGTATTTTAATAAATATTCTTATTTTAATAAATATATTTTAATTACAAAGATTCTTAAGGAATCTTTGTAATATCTTGGAATATTTGTAAGAGATTATCTTTAAAACAACAATAGTTCTATATAATTTCTAATTCTTTCTAAAAACTATCATTTGGATACTCAATCAAAATGATTTTGATTACAATATCAATATCAAAAAAATTTTCGATATTGGTTTTATAAAAAATTATATTAAGTAGTATCAATTAGAATTTTAGTTACTGTATTATATTATATTAAATTAGTTTAATATTTGATTTTGATACTTTCAATTCAGTATCGATATTACAAAGTTTTGTACTGAAAAAATTTTTGATATTGATTTTATAAAATACTATACTGAATGATACTAATTAGAACCCTAATTCAAAGAAATATAACAGCTAATGTCAATGTAACTAACAATAAGCTAGGTTAGTTTACAGGTATTATACTAATAATTGAAAATTTAGTAGGATAATACAAGAAGATCAAAGATTCTAGTTACTCTTGTAATACAAGCTAGTAATGACAATAAAAGTTTTTTGCTTGTCTTTCTGACAATATAGGCTTATTGTATAAGATTAGATATTAATACTGTATCTTTAAAAAACTCCAACTCCACCATATATCTAATATCCTTCTTAACAAATCACTACTTTATATTTAAACTTTTTCTATATTTTTCAGTTCCAGTTTACCTTAAAATCAAAACATACCTTCCAAAGCCACTTTAACAGCAAGATTAATTGCTACCTCTTAGCTTATAGTCTTAATAATTGGTTTTAAAATAAGAGATCTATATTAGATAAAAATAGTGAAAGATTGGTATTATTAATGGGTTGCCTTGATGATAAAGATGGTTACTGTCCTTCAGTCTTTAATCCTAGTAATGGGTTCAAATAAAAAATTAATGTTTTGTGCAAATAATAAAAAATTTGCTTTATTTTGATATATTTCAATTTAATATAGCTTGAAACCAACTTTTATTTCACTTGTTGTATATCAAGTTATATTTGAAAAACAGGTGTGCCAATCCTAGTTATGATTTAAAGGTTTGATAACTTAAGCCAACCAAATCTTTTGAAATGTTTACTAAGAAATTTTAGAGTTATGTTCTATTTGATCTTATGATCTTTAATCTGATAGTTAATATTAATCAAAGACTATAGTTTTGGAGTATTTATTAAAAAGTACATATTTACATTTAATTCTCTCTAAATGTATAACTGCATGAACTGAAGGACCTACCTAAGGATGGGTCCCTAAATTATTTAGCATATAAAATTTCGCAGATTAATTATGTTCCTTTTGAAGGGACATAATTATTTATTCATTACTTTAATAGAGATATAATTTAAAAAACACTTGAATCAAGTGTCCTAAATTGTAAAAAACCCTTGTAGGTAGTTTTTTTTTGACCTTATATTTAAAAAAAAAACTTTTTTAATAGTAAGGGACATTTGAATTATGTCCTTGCCTTTAATTTAGGAACCCATCTTTAGACCTACCCAGTCATAATCCAGTGGGCTAAGGCAGGGTAGGGCTAACCTATGAACCATGGTTCAACCCCAGCTAGAGGCAATTCACATATCCTAAAAATAGAACTTTGTGTCATTGCTCCTGTAACTCGTGATAGAAAGCAATTTGGGTTGTTCCAGCGATCAAGGAGCCTTATGGGTAGACTACACCCTATAGGTCAAAAAATAGATGATCTGATTGGTAAACTTTCTAATCAAGTATTGTCCGGGAAATACCTTCAAAAGGGGAAAGAAGTTTCATGAAATCTTTCCAGTAGTGGAAGGAAAAGTACAGGCAGCTAAAACCATTAATCGCACAACTATCAGTAAGAGTTTTACATGTCCGTTGGTAGTGAGGATCCAGTCGGGATTGCAGGAGGTCGCTTGTATCACAGGATGTTCTATCCTAAGGGGTACACTTGCGACGGTTGACTGCATGCCTCCATAAATTGTAACCTCTGCATGTGTTGCTAGGTTAAATTAGGAAGGGTAAGACTGGGTCCGATTTCTAGGCAAATTTGGTGTACTGGTGTACCTTCATCTCACCAATAATATCTCACTGACTAAATCCTAGTAAGTCTTGACTAAACTGAATGGTTGAAATACTGTAGTGATAGCTATAGGCAATGATTATTCTGGCATGATAGCAAAGGTCTGCTTGCCTTGAAATAGCAACTTTTCACCCCTACCATCTATACTTAGAGGCTTAGCCTAAGACGAGTATTTAGGACGACCATTATCACCCCTGTACCCTGGATAAATACTGAAAGACTGGCAAAAAGGTGATAAAGAGGTACCTGAGTTGATGGCAAGGATTAAAATAAAAAAAATAACTGCATGAATTAAAGTTATAATATAAAAATTAAATTTTTTCTTTTTTTTTCTTTTATTAATTTTTTGAGTAGAAATCTTAACTACTTGATATTATCTTTAACATATAATAGTTTTAATATTTGTTTTCTTTACTACTTAGAAGATTATATATAAGTAGACTAATATTAGACTTATTAGCTTGTTAAGTTATATAAGAGATATTATTGCTTTCTATATGTAAAGTTTAATAATTTTATTGATAATAAAGTAATAAAGTTTTTCTATACTAAAAAAAAAATAATTTTTATATATTAATAACTATTAACAAGTTTCTTGAAATTATTATTCACTTTGTTTTATAATTAAATTTTTTAAAAAAATATATAATTTATATCAATATATTGTATTATAAAATTTGTTATATTAAAGAAATTTGTGAAATTTTATAAAGTTAAATCAAAAAATTTTTCTTATATAATTTTTTTTTGCTTTAATATATTTTTATTTGCAATTGTCAAAAAAATCAAAGGTTTTATCTTTATAAAACTTAATCAAATTTAAATAAAAATTGAATATTTAAGTATAACATATATAAAAAAATCAATAAACTTAATATAAAGAATAAATTTGTACAATTTTATCTTCTGTAAATATTGAATTAAAGATATATATTTGGAAATTTAAAAGCATTATCTACTATATTATTGATTTATAGATTTTTTCTAAATATAATTATAAAAAATATTATCTTATAATTCATAAAATAAAATAAATAAATAAATAAATAAAAAGTTTATATTGATAAATAAAAATTCTTTTAAATCAATCTTTAATTTAATTGAAAAATCCATTTAATTTTATTATTAATAAAGAATATACATATAAGATATACTTACAGTATAATAAGATTTAATTAATTAATTATATAAAAATTATTTCAATTAAAAAATAAAAATTTTAAAATCGAAAAAAAATTTTTAAAACAAATAAAATTACTTGTGCACTCTTATTACTACTGTAAATAGAATAATAATAATAAAATTATAGTTATCTATACCAATCGCGTCTACATTTTGAACATTATGTTTCCCTTAAACGGATAAACATTGTAACGTGGAGTATGCCAATCGGTGAAATAGTCGACGAACCTTTGTTACCTAAGGTATATTGATGCCAGGATAAGGAAGATGTGAAATAAGGCATTTTTGCCATTTGTCATTAGTGGATAAAGAATAAAAATTAGTAATACCCAACTAACTGAGATAATCCATGTTTTTACTGATAAGTAAATTTGCGTGACACATGCAAAACAAATTTGATACAATATAAAAGACCCTCCAAAATTCTTCATAACTTGATTCTTAAGAAATAAACTTAAAATTTAACGAAAATGACTGTAAGCGGTTTTCCACCATTAATTTTTAAATTAAAAACTAATTTAATGGATAACATATATTTAATGTAATAGGAAACCTACAAGTACAACGTCAAAATGTCTTGCCAAGGTTGCGTTAATGCTGTCAAAAACGTACTAAATAAATTCCAAGGTAATTTTTTTTTAAATCTTTCTTTATTTCATTTAACAATTTCTGTAATCTTCTCTATTTCAATTAGATACTGCCTATGAAGTTGAATTGGAAAACCAACTGGTTACTGTTACGACTAAAGCGACTAACGAGGAAGTATTTAATGCCCTCAAAGGCACTGGGAAAGAAGTATCACAAGTTGTCTAACCTTAATCAGCTAAATATAATAATCATTCATGGCGTAATATAGCCAAATTTTTAACCATGTGATATATGTCATGTGATATGTGCTCTTTAACTGTCCCCGCGTTAGATAAATTAACATCGCAATATTTAATGATGTAATTATGAAATAATAAAATTTGGAGAACCTGATAGCGAAATATATGAATTATGATAATATTATGATAATTACCGAATGAAGAAATTTAAACGTCATCTATGTGTTCCCTAATTCACACGTTATTATTTATTATTATCTACTTGCCATATCTTAATAAATAAGACTTTCACTGATACGGGTTTTTTTTTTAAAAAAAATTTTTTTTTCAAGATTTATTATTTCTCTTCGCTTAAAGCCGTTCCCGCGAATAACCCAAACATTTTCGTTAAATTTCACGTGACTTAACCGATAGTTGAAATGGGCATGACCGTTGCGGCGGGCCGGTTATTTGTCATCTTGACGAATACTTTGACCACTGTATTTTAATTTCGATAATAATTTGTCTGGGACGCGAATAATCTCTAATATTAATTTATCTAATGAAACCAGCTTGCTGGCATAATTCTCATCGGACTAGGTTTATACGAACTTGCATCTCCAGAAGTTCGCTTTTATTCTAATGTTATCCCACTGGCAACCATTTTACTTGGGGTTCTGATATTTTTGATTTCGGTGACTGGATGTTTTGGTGCTGTCGCCGAAAGTAAACCTATTCTTGTCACGGTATATACATTTATTTATTTATTTATTTAACTTAATTTCTCACCAAGTCAACAAACCCTCAATGTCTTTTTATGAAATTTTTAGTATTTTATCGTTCTTCTGATTCTAGTCATTATTCAAGTCATTGCAGCAATTATTACATTGGTTGATTCCCAGAACGTAAGCTTTTATGGTGACCATAATTCCCGGAGATTTATTTTTTTACACTTAAATATTTGAAATGGTTAATTTAGGTTGAAAGGATACTCGATACTGCTTGGGAAAAGGCATATCAAGAACATCCTGCAATCATTCGTGATATTGAGGATGAGGTGAATGATTTACTACTTTTTACCTTGACGGTTACCATACTCCATCCCCTAATAAGTTTTTTTTTAAAGTATGCTTGTTGTGGGTTTCGAAATACCACCGACCGTGCGATACCAAAGCGTACGCCGGATGCATGCGTCGAAAGTCCATGGTTCGGATATAACAAACCTTGTCTGGCAAGTTTGGAAACTGCCTATAGGAGACATCATACCATGCTCGCTGTCTGGGGTATCGTTTTGGCGGTCATTCAGGTATATAATTGTCAATTCTAGGTTACTTCACTCCCTATATGTCTTGCCTCTAAAGAAACATCCGAATAGATTCTTGCACTTATTTCTGTCTACATCCTGATCGTTTTCCTGCCAACTCCCGAGGAACGCGAACGTATCTATCGAGCCGAACATGAAAGACTTGTTCGAATTGGACGTGGTGAAGATCCTGAACAACCGACTAAACCTTACAGCGTTGGACAATATGGAGCTACTTCTGGCGTTAGCACTTAAAATACCCAAGCTGGTTGAAATGAAACCTCTGCGCAGGTTTTAGAAGAAAAAATGAGGTTTAGACTTAGATATTTTCTGCATAAGTTGATAAAATTTTTATTCTTTTAGGTTTAATGCTAAAAAAGAAACGAAAAAAAAAAAACAGTATTCGTAAACTCCATAAATTTTGTAGTTCTTGCAAATACTTTCTACATTGTTTAAGAACGCGAGAAATCTTTACTTTTATATAAAAAAAGGTCATATTGTTCGCACGAAAGTTTATTCTCTTTTAAGCAAAAAAAAAGATTTAAGATACATCTTGCTAGCAAATGTATTTATAAAAAATGTGAGAATTTGAGAAAATCTTCATGCTCATTAATCGCGTTCACCTTTGACACCAATAAACATGCTCAACATATCACTCATTGTAACAACGCCCAGAGGTTTTTCTGTATCTTTTTCTGTGATCCAAACCCTATGAACCCCAGCAGCAATTGCTAATCTCGTGACCTCTTCTAGGCTCGTCTCCTCATAGCATGAAACGACTCTCCTCGGATGATCACTGACCTTATGAAGAAATTCGCTGACAAGATTATATCCGTCAATATTTTCAGGCGAGACATACTTAATATCAGAAGCCGACAGATTATCAGTAAGTTTAACTGGTTCGGATTCTCTATCAACGACGGCGACCGATGAGATACCGTGAACAGCCTATTGTTAAAGAATACAAGGTTATTTGGGAATGTGTCAATACGACGATCGTCGTAGATAATGATTACCAGAAGTTTGAAGCCGGCGAATGCTGTCATATCTTCAGTGATTGAAAGCGCGAACGTTCTTCTCGTTTCCGAAACCGGCAATCTCAAACATATAAACGCGTAAGTAATCTCCCATTTAATGATCCGAAGTCAACAATAGCTACCTGTGTGAAGGCTGATTTGGATCTTCCTTTCTGGTAAATGTAATCCACGATCTTTGTATTGCCTTTTGAGCAGGAAGACCACCAATTCCGTGAACTTTCAATTTTTCATTTTTAATAAAAAAAGTCATGACATCCCATTGTGTGATAATACTCGCGTGCTGAATATCACCCAACATCTTCTCTTTATCATCGGAAACCGAACATAGAATTGCGTAGGCATTTTCTTTTAACATAAGTGCACGTACGGTGTCTATAAGTGGAACGGACTTATGGTACATCTTGAAGTTATCGTGAACATTCGCGGCAGCGACTACGTCGCTGATCGGCAAGTCGTAAATTGGCCTTAATTCCTCTTTAATTTGTTCTACCATTTCAACTCCAACGTCAGGGGACAAGGTGACTCCATGTTTATAGAACACCTCTCTTAACATTATAAATTTCACGATATGCACAACATTCACGATCGCAATGAACTTTTCTTCGGCGGGATCAAAAACCGGAAGAGAAATGACGTTGTGAACTTTAAAGAGTTGAATGGCCCTGTTAACATTGTCGATAGTACGAATGTAGACGAGAGGCTCTAAAGGTTCGTTACGACTTTCTTGGATAAGTGTGTCAAGTTGAAATTCGTGTAATGCCTCCAGGAGGGGATCTTGCTCGAGAAGACGTGATGGATCTACAGGCGGTTGAAAGGACATAGTTGCTTTAGGATAACACGAAAGTAAACAAAGCAAAAGATCAGTCCTTAAGAGTTCTCACGCGGTATTTATGACTTAGAGTTTGATAGTGACCGAATGATTGCATCAATTTATTAAAATATGTAGTAATCACATCAACGTAAAAATATAAGTATTGTATATTACGTTAAAGTTATCATCATTATTCTTGCACGTGAATATTATATTTCTAGTTTTTATTATTTTTTATATAAATTTGAAACAAATAAATTTATTTTAATAATTTAATTAATACTTATTTTTTTTAAGAGGCAATTTATGCAATAATATACAGATGGATAGCATGGCATTAGGGCGATTATAAAAAAAATGTTATGCATAAAAGTTTTGATCTTAATAATAATGCATTGGCTATATAATTAAGTGATCATTCATAATAATAAAAGATTTGACTTTTTGTCTCAATTGTATATTTAAGTAAGAGATGGTCTGAAATTTATATTATATGGAAAAATGGATTGCAAAAAAGATTTTACTAAAGAAGAAATTGTCTATGTTGGTAAAAATCAATCAATTGTATTAATTACTTCAAAAAAAAAAAATAGTAGATCAAAATTAATTATCAATAAACATCTCAAATGTCAAATTCTATAAGAAATTAAGATTGATCCATTATTAAGAAAGATAGCAAAATGACAATTAATTGTCAAAATTTCACAAAAAAACCAAACCTTAATATCAACAAATACTTTAATAAAAATATTAAAGAAAAACAAAATTAAGTCATATATTATATATAAAAAACTTTTTTTTTTTTAATTGATTAAGAATATTAGATGTGAGACTTTATTTGATAATCTATTATCATTACCATTATATCAAACATCTTTATAAAATAGACTGTTGCTATTTTAAAATACATAAAAAACCTATAATAAAATGAAACCAATTGTATAAAATAATTAAAATATATCAATCTATAGAGATAATATGCAGATATTAACTTTATTAAACAAATGAAATCTTAATTTTAATTAATAGATAAGCAATATATTATCCCTATAAATCATATCTAAAGACTTTATATCACAGACATATGAGTTGAGTTGAGGAAATTTATATATACAACTTTTATTTTTATTTATTTATTTATTTTTAAAGTACACTAGCAATAATTGTTTGGCTGAATATTTATTCAATAATAATGTTTACATATATCTTTCAACATTACTATCTAGGACTATGCTATAATATGTTGGTTGTTAACTATACCTAACACTTATCAGGATTGCTTCAAATAACGATGTTTGCTATAGCTTGTTCCTAACTATATTAGGTATAGAGGTTAATCTACTGGACAAAAGTACTCATTTGTTGGACCAGTAGCGTGCATTTTCACTAGTAGTCAGACAGCTTTATTTCTAACTGGGGAGGAATTAAAGGGAAGTTGAAAGGGGGCACTAGGGGTAATATCTATAGCGAATAAAGCTACATGATTACTACTTGCTCCATCGGGGATAAATCCCTTTATCACCACTTGTAGTTGGACTAACCATTTAATTTTTTACCTGTCCAATGATACCTAAGAACATTCAAGATACTTATAACTGGTGCTTACACTAGTCCAAATTGGATTATTTGATTACCAAATTACAGCCGATTAAATCCAAATTTATTAATAAAAGTTTATACTGAAGTTTTGTTGTTTGGTCCAATTTATGC